CCCAATTGAGTTTATTCAGCCAAATTCCTTTCACAGACATCTTCAAATGTGTCATACGAGTTAATTGGTCGTCTAACAATTCGAGACTGAGGTTCATAGGTTTCTAACTTAAAAACCAATTTGCAAAATGAATAATTTTTATAATATTAGTTTTTTCTTTCTTTCATACTCTTGATAAGAGATTCATAACACGTCATTTGGAAATTGTAGCTCCGTGATTCATTTATTTCGGACATGATCTAGCTTTATTTGGGTTTAATAGGTTTTGATACCATTTGAGTTTTGATTTTTAACTCATAATTATTTTACAAATGAATGAATTGGTGAAGCCGGTAATAGCTAATGTTGGTATGCACTCTTTAACTTTCGATGAAGAATTTTTCACATGTTTTTAATCTATGAATTGAAATATATATTTTTCTAATTAAGTATAAGTAGAGTGGAACGAGTTGATAAGATCTTGGAAAGGGAAAAAGGAATAAGACAACGTTGTGCATAAAGTTTTGAGATATCAACTATTTTCGGATGAAAATGACCTTAGATTAAGATTCACAAAGTTAATTTTCAGTTAATTATAGATAAAATCAAAGACATAAATTCTAAAACTATAAACATTAGGTGTTAAATTCAAACTTTTCTTTACCGGGTAAGTGGTTCCCAAATATATTCGAAGTCAGTAAAAATGATTTATGTCTTAAAAACGATATTATATTTTAATGTTAAGCTACGGGCATCAAAATAAATTATAGATCAAAAGTATGAAATTTCTACTGTTTATAAACTACTCTTTTTTTTTTTTTTGTAACATCATTAAATACAAACTATTCCAACATGCTGTCAAGAACATTATGTCAAGTTCCCAACATGATTCATTTTGGTAGAATGAAACGGACCAAATCAACTCATAGTTTAAGGAGTCAAGATAGATTAATCAGATTCACTTCTAGACATACAGCCTTAAGATCCCACGTCTGAATTAATTGATAGTTTAATTCCACCTTAAACTAAATTCATTTCAACAACAATATTTGCATTATAAGGTTCAAAAAAAAAAAAAAATTTACATTATAACATCTATGATCCGGAGTGCTTTCAATTAACCATAGTTATGTGTTGTAGTTAACTTCATTAAAACATAGATTTATGTATGCATTCATATTTAGTCATTGGTGGTCCAGCCTGGTTGCAGAATCGAATTGCACGAGAAGCAAGGCGAAAACAAGTTTAAGGCTTTGAGTTTGGGTTTCGATGTTTTTCTTAGTTCATGTTTTTGTTTTGGTTGGTTGAACTCTATATCGTAGTTATAATAAAAACATTCAGATGATTCAAAAAAAAAAACATAGATATATGTATGCATTTAGCTAAGCAAAATAATAAAAAGTAGATCTGATGCGGATAATTAAATTATAGATTTGCATAAGTATGCATGGACTTAATCAAAATGTCCAGCTAATTAAACAAATCATTTGATTATGAAAACCTTATATTATTATTATATGGTATAATAAAATAAAATTCCACGAAGAGAACCTTTCAAGAAAAATAAAATAAACTAATGACTACAAAACAACTAGTCTTTAATTTATTCAAATAAAATATCCAAATGACTAAATATAATAATCCTTTTGATATTTGCCTGCACGTCCTCAAAAACACAAACAAGTAAGAGAATAATAATCACATAAGATTTTGATTAAAACCCTCTCACTAATCACCTTCTTAATCACCTCCCCCCCACACAACACCAAAAAGAAAAAAACATCATAGCTAGTTTCTCTGTCTCAAGAATCATGCACCGCAGAGGAGCAATTCAAGAATCAGACGACGAAGAAGACGAGACTTATAACGACGTCGTTCCTGAATCTCCTTCTTCTTGTGAAGATTCAAAGATCTCAAAACCAACTCCAAAGAAAAGGTTTTTTGCTTTACGAATTATTATTAAATTTTTTTGATCTGAAAATGGTAATAATTAATGATTGAAATTTGTGTGTGTGTAGTAGGAGGAACGTAGAGAAGAGAGTTGTCTCCGTTCCGATTGCTGACGTGGAAGGATCTAAGAGCAGAGGAGAGGTATATCCACCGTCGGATTCTTGGGCTTGGAGAAAGTACGGCCAAAAACCGATCAAAGGCTCTCCGTATCCCAGGTAAATTTACGTTTTTACCCTTTTGTCGTTTTTTAATTAGCGGCGGCTCAAAAATCAGATAAAAGGAAAGCGTACGTTAGCAACGATGGTGGTTGGGCTAACATGCGCATCTTGTTTAAAAAAATAATACTAGCGTTTGTTATCGTTGTGCTTTCACGCGCCAATTCCTTAACTCTTGGGGTTTCTTTTCTGTTGTAATTATATAGTTTATGAGGAGTCACTAATTAAAATTAGTCTAAAAAGTTTTTTTACTAGTATTATTAATTTATTATATTTGTTGGGATAACCTTGGGGAAGATGAAACAATCAAGTAGATGTAGATCTTGATTTGTAATCAAGACAAAGCTACAAAGGTTAATGCGCACAAAAAGGAAAAGTATATATATGAACGTGATTAACGTGCCAATATTATATACTATTGTCTCAAATTTATTTATTCGTTTTCTTGGGGGTTAAACTTTATGTAAACTATAGTATAATTTTAAACTAAAATTTATTTCCATTAAGAATTATGTATGAGATGTACCAGAATGAAAAATTTATATGCTTTGAATGATTTTTTAAAATTTTTGTAAATATATTTCTTTTTCTTTTTTTTTGGGTGAAATGTAAATATATTTCTTTGATCATATACAATGTAAATTTCATATCTTTAAGTGGATCATCCTGAAAAATCGAATTTTTAAATGTTTTGTTAAAAAAGGTAAAGTTTTTTTTTTTTTTTTGGTAAAAAAATTTAAAGTTGATCACTTTTTTGTTTGTGTGTGGATCTCTGTTTCTTTTTCTCAGGGGATATTACAGATGCAGTAGCTCAAAAGGATGTCCGGCGAGGAAGCAGGTGGAAAGGAGCCGTGTGGACCCCACAAAGCTCATGATAACTTACGCCTGCGACCACAACCACCCTTTTCCCTCCGCCGCTAACAACAAATCCCACCACCACCACCGTACATCCACCACCGTCGTCCTCAAATCCGCAA